GCGGTTTCGTTGTATACGCACACTCGGTGTACCCTAGGCCGAGCATGCTCGACACGTAGGAAGTTTTAATGTAATTTGGCACGCGGCGGGCGAATATAGCCTGCACGAACGAGCTTGCTGGCAGAAATGACGGAAACGCCGAGATTTCATCGGGCCCTTTTTTTATTCTTTTTTCGTCCCTTTCCTCCTTTTGGCTCATTTGTTTTCGCTTGGGTCGAGTTTTCACGCTGGTTAGGGAACGATTAAACTAATAGCACGCTTCTAGGACGAGGTTTTGCGATTACCATGAGATGGAACTTGACGCTCGTTGATGCGGGGTAATTTGTCGGGGTGATTGGAGATGTGATAGAAATAGCTCGAATTGTCTCTGAGTTTGTCTTATTATTCAGAGATTTTTTTAGAAATGGTATTTTATATTGAATTCGAAATGACGCGTAGATATTTCGAGTATTAAGATAAAATGATATGATAACGAAATCAAGAGATTTTATTTTAGGAGAATTGAATTGAAATTTTCGTTTCATTTGTTTCATTATATTTACAATTTCATTTCCATTTATAATCTATTAATAAATATGAAAGAATCATTCGAACTAAAGAAACGTTTGATTTCAAATTCGTTTTAAATTGAATTCCGTTTTGCTAAATAAATTCCAATATATAAAATATTAAAATACGGTAAATATTAAAAATATCTTTTTTTTTTTTGAAAAAAAGAAAGAATCTCGAACTCGTAATTTACGCATAACGTACCGACACGTGGAACATTCAAGGAAGTAGAAATAGTTTATGGTCATTCGTGAAACGTGCGTGAAGTTTTGAAATTTTTGGGATCGGCGGCTATAAATGTCATAACTGGTTCGCGCTGATAACACAACGCTCGCGGCGAAACCAGTTCGCTATACATTCGTGTCTCTCTCGTATAATATTTATAAAGCCGATTTCTTTCCACGGTGTGTATGTATAACCGGGTTGTGCCGCGCGTTAATAAACTTCAGCCACGGACAAGTTTATCTCGTGCTAAGCGATTCTATCGACTCGAATGTTTATCGTGACTCGCGTCGCGTATACGTACTATACGTGTGAGGATTCAATTAGTTATGACAACTTTGGATTCGAAGCGCGGACGTGAGTGGAAATGGAGCGAAGGAAGATTGCTCCGTGTATTTTCTGATTGTGTCTTTTGATGATAGTTTGCTATGTTTAATCTTTTCACGCTTTGGTTATGGTACTCTGGAGAGATAAAAGCGTCTCTGGTAATGTATAAAAATGTTTTATGTTGCGATTTTAATAATTTAATAATAAAATAAGGAAAAAAAGCTTTAATAATAAAATAAGGAAAAAAATAAGGAAAGAAAGATTAAAAGCATTATATGAAAAGTATTATAAGAAAAAGATTTCTATTGTGATTAATGATTGTGAATACATAATTTTCTTTCGTCGTTTCCAACTAAATATTCGTATTTTTAATAAAATGATTGATATAGCAATTTTGTTTGCAATTACAGTATTTATGCATAACGAAAAAGAGATATTCAAACATAGAAGAAATCACTTTATATCGTAGTAAATTAATTGCTTGACGAATACATTTTGAGGTTAGAATGACGTCATATCGTCAAGAAATATAATTAACTAATAATTAACTTCAAATAATCTAATAAATTTAATCATAGAGAAAAATAGATATCTGAACATGAAATCTGAAGCAAAAATCTTACCTCAAACTTCTCGAATTCTTCGAATTCCATAATCAATATCCAAAATGTTCATACAACAAGTTCAACAACTAATACTCACAACACAATCTTAACACATCGTAAAGAAATGAACTCCGGTGCGAAATATTCTATGACTCGACCTAAAATTCAATTTTTCCATTCTTAATAAACACTTATACGAATGTCAGAATCGAACCAAACAATTTTCTAAATTGGAACGAAACACACGAAAACGATATCGAGATTTACCGATTCTTGTTCAGTGGCGGTAATTACATTTTTCGATGCGTTTGCGCACATGCGCGCGCACACACGACAGCGATTCTGCGTCGCGCAACCTACAATATTATTTCACATGGGACGCGTGTTCCGTAATTTACGCGGTTCGATATACGATTCCGTATAATTGACAAGACGATCGATGGATCTGATGCAGAGATCTAATCGAGATAACCGCCTCGATACGATCTTTTTTTTTTCTTTTGTCCTTCTTCTCGTTCTTCTGCTTCTCCTCCCGGTTTCTGCCCCTTCGCTTTTCGAGGAAGCCTTTCGAAAAGCGACCACGGTTGTTCTTTGTTAATCGTCGCGATGGCGTGGCAGTGAGCGTACACTCGTTCATCGGTTCCACTCGTGTACTATAATTATTCACACTCCATAATGCAGTATACGGCGATACGTAATCCCGGACAGGATTTGAAAAGGAAGTATACGAACTGTTCGTGTAATTATACACTCGCCGTGGCTTAATCTTCTAGCAAATTGTATTAAGATTTTTTACAAATTTTCACACGTTGCGCCGTAAATCTATTCGACGGTAGAATGGGATACGTGTACAGTAAATGGGCTTCGTTCGTTTTCAATAGAAATTCTCGATTAATCGTTCCTGTACATCATTTGTCTTCTCATGTTTTCATTTCCGTTTTTCTCGTTGTTTTCCTTCTTCTTCTCTGTTTATTCTTTTATTTAATGGGAGGAAATGTTTATATAATTTCGAATATCAAAACGATTGAATAATATGATGCGTATGACTAAATATAAGAGAAAATAATTATAATTGTTTTTTTTGTTTATAAAATTATGAATTTAAATTTCAATATTCTCTATTCATTAATAAAATAAAATAAAAAGCTTCAATCTTTTAATAACAAGAAAATGAAATTATTTTTAGAAATCACAATTAAAATTCTAACCTTTAATTCTGTTTAATTCCAGACAAAAAAATATGTACAATATCGTTTAATTATAGGAAAACTATTTATTTGTGTTCAGTTCTCTTTTATCTTATCTCTCCATCGAATCTTTATAATATGAACGTAATAGGTGCTATATACCTATCAATATAAATTGAATAACTCTGAAAATAGCCATCCTCCAGGATTATCTTTAAAATGTTTCATAAATTTTAAACTTCCTTTTCAAGCAGTTTCGAAATAAAATCTAAATTCTAAATTTGCAATTATAAATTTAATCCGCAGAATTCTTTCTCCAAAATAACTTTATTCTGAAACGATTCAGTGACAAGTATTACAATAACTGTTTTCTAAATTAAATAAATCATATAATTCAAGTTTTAAATCTTATTGCATATCAACTATACCACGAAAAACTGTCCTTTCATTTATTTTCATTCACCCAGATTTCCTGAACCAATTAATTAAAATCGGCGTGATAAGCTGACAAAACTGATCGTCTGTGACACGTTTATAACAACAGCGAACGAAGGCAAGAAGCGGTATACGCAAGAAACTTATTATAATCCATGGCTCGTCCAAGTTATTAGCATTCCGCTATCAATTATCCAGCAGCCCAGGCGCTCGAAATAACGAGCGTGGCTCCTTTCTCCTCCGCTCTCTGCTGACCACCATGCTTCTCCTTTTTTTTTCATCGATGCAATAATCGTGTTGTTTAATCTCTCGAAACGTGATACGCTAAAAAAAAAAAAAATAACTACAAAATATTTATCAAATATCAATTTTTACCAATTCGTTCAAAAATATGGTAAAAACAAAACTTTATCAAATCGAAAACCTTGAAAATTTGCCAAACAACTCGTCTTCAAAAAATTCAGACACAGATTTAATTTGTACAAATCAACTCTATATAACAGCCGAGAATTAACGATTGCTAAATCCATGGTGGAACAATCCCTAAAACACGTCTATTTCACCTGATTCGAGGTAAAGCGTCTTCAGAGAACTCGGACAACATTTGCCTTTTCCGTTGTGTACTCCTCGGCCCGATGTTTGACGGATAGATTGAAGTGGTGCTCCAAGTATAATGTCACAGAAGTTGCCCGGTGAAAAGAAGCCTCGTACGAGACGTACGAGAACGAGAGTACGAGAGGTGGACGAGATGTGTTGACCTAGCGGTGCGTCGAGCACCACTTGTTGCCGTGTCGTCGCTCGAGTACTTCTGTCAGTATACTCGAAGCTGCCGCTACTCAAGACGGCCTCGAACCTTTATTGACAGATGCAATCGTCCGGTATTTGCATTAGATTAAACAGTTCCGATAATCGTTGCTGCTCGTGCTCGTCCTAATTGGATTTATCGTGTCTCGTGTACGCACGCGTACAGTATCACTGTTTTGAGCACAGCTGGCCCAAATGATTGGAATCATCCGAAGTATATCTGAAAATTTGAATTGGATAAAAATCCCGTTACGTTGATTTATCGTTTCGACTGAGTGATCGTCGAGACGAGGAATTTGGAAAAATTTTGCAATTTGGAAAATTTCGATGAAGGTTGTTGACAACTTGGAGTATTTCAATTTTTTTAAAAATGTCTAAAAATTTAGAAAGCTCTTAGAATGTTTGAATATTGAAATCTTCGAATGTTTGCGTGTTTAAATCTTCGAATATTCCCACATTTAAATATTTAAGTTTTAAATATTTGAAAACTTAAATACCTGAATTTTTTCCTTTTCTTTCGAGCGTTCGAATAAATGAATTATGATATAAGTTACGCACATTAATTGAAAGTGAACGCAATCAGTAGAATTAGTAACTACGGTAACGGACAGTACTTTAGATAGACACCTCGTTTAGACTTCAGGTTATTTAACATGTTGCGAGTGAGAAATAGTGCGATTAAGTATCAGAAGGAGTATTATTATAGTCCATTCGAGATCGTTAATCATCGTTCTAGTTGTGCTGGTGGTAAGATGTAAGTAGGTCAAGATATGATGAAGTTCGTTAAAGTTAATTGTAATATCCTAATGTACAGCCCTTTAAGACTGTGCTCTAATCTTTAATAATCTAGCACAATGTAAAAATTCTTCTTTACAAAATTTAAGAGAATACACGCAATGGTCGTAGAATACTTCTTCTATTTATTTTTAAATTATACAATTCAATGAAACTTATATATAACGTCTTTGATCAAAAATTATTGATATTAAAGCTCTTACTTGCCTCTTTTCTACGTTCTCGAGGATTTAAGAGTACATCTAAAGTTACACTCGTCCGACACTTCATTGTCGTAGAAACATGTAGCGCTACTGACCGACTTGACAGGTTACTTTCCACTGAAAACTCCAGTAGACCGGGTTTCTTTGATCTTATCGATAATGATGTTACTCAGAAGCGTGGCCGGATGTCGAAATGTGCCGCAGTTGTAATGTAAGCTGTACATTTTAAATAAATTCGATTAAGCAACGAGAAAAACAACCATGTCTCATTCTATATTATCGTAATTGCTTTAACGAGTAATTGAAAAGATATTATTCGAGATAAGCATTCTGTTAAGTATTTAATATTAAATATGTTAAATAAATAATGTAATTTTAAAGAGCTTTTAAATATTTTTAACAAAAATTATGAAATTTTCTTACGGTATTACCAATATAAATTTTATTTAATAAAACGCTTAATTGTCATATCGTGATTCCGCGAAATCGTTCGTTAGCTGTTTTCACGAAATTTGTCGAAAAGCTACGCGAGCGAGAACCGGTTACACACGTGCCGACAGTGGCAAAATGATAAATACGAAGGATTTAATCAGTATTATAAATCACGCGTGTGCACGCGTGATATTGAATCCGCAATAAGAGGGAATGACCGCAAAACCATCGTCGCTTTGTTCGAATGAAAATTAATCGCTCTGTTCGTCCTTTGCATCTTGTACGAACAACGATATTTATTAAAATTAATAAAGTTACCAATTTAAAAAAAAACTCCTATACTGTATGGTAAAATAATTATAAATATGTTTTCAATATAAAATGTAGGAATTATTAAAGAAAAATTGGAAATAACAAATAGCGGAAATAACGATTAATAGCTACGTGATTAAAATTATTTTAATTTTATCATCTAATCGATTATACTCGAAGAATATCTCGTGAACGTATGATGTGTTTAATTATTAAATGCAAATTAAGATAGGAAATGTAAATTGTAATCCGACGTATATAATTCCAACGTCAATCGCGCCTTAGTATTGTCAGTCGAGTCTGGCCGACTTAAATTGCAGATCTTCGGTGTGTATATACGGGTCTTCTGACAGTTTGTCTGGAGATTGACGGACAAACCAGAGATGGTTTGGTTTAATATCTTTGCGATGCATCATCGAGCTTGAAGTTCTTTCTTGATACGTATAAGAAACTTAACGGTAAGGTGCCGCTAATTAATGTTCGTCTCACGAAGCGATGATACGTTTTACGATCCTCAAGGTCTGTATTATGTTACTTTTTAACTGTCCTTTCTATGGTATCTAAAATTTTTAAAATAACACATTATATTAATCGAAATTAAAATTCGAAATCGAATCGATATGATAGAAAATATAATAATAAGATAATATAAGAATAATGAAAGATAATAAAAGAATAATTACTTTCCAAGTTTCGAATTCCTCATTTTTTGTTATCCTGCAAAGCATCGATGCATTGAAAATGCATTTTTCAGTTAAAAAAATTTTTCCACGTCTCACGTATATGCTATCAAACGCATCAACGATTTCTAATTTTCAATCGTCGCTGCATACTGTCGCAGCCAGTTGAAAGAAACTGGTGCACGATTATCAGTCGCACGACGACACACATGGACAGTGTGCGCGCGGGAGAGACACGGTCGCACAGGCATTGAGAGCGTTATTGAATGATGGCTCGTCCAACTGCTAATGGGGCCGGACGCTCGCGCGACACACCGTCCAGAGAAAGAGAAAAAGAATCGTACCGTGGAAAAAGAGCGGACGAACGAGCGTAGTCTGGTGCGCGAGAGAAAGGAAGAAGGGACGAGGAAAAAAGGGGTTGTCTCGTAAGAAGCGCGCGTCTCTTGTGCCGTTGTTGCTGTTGCACCGATGCACAACCGATGGATGCATTCTTCCGCCGTTCCCCGAACCATTGCACGGTGGAGGAGAACCGAACAGACTCGGACCTGGCCTCGCCTGGACCTCAGACTTCTCCTCGCCTCCTCCTCTTTCGTTCCCGCGTGTGTCGAACGATAGCTCGCGAGACTTCGAAGGCGTAGCCAGGCTGGCTGCTGACCAACCGATAAATAAAATAACTCGGTTGCGTTTTTATCGAGTCGATGCTTGCCATCTTCCTCCTGTTCCATCTCTCTTTCGAGGATCTAGACTTTTGGAGCATGCGTGCACGTTTCGGCTATAAGACAATTTCTGCGTTACGAATGTGTTATGAATTAATTACGATATAATTTAATCTTTTGCGATTACGATGTTCATAGTTTAATTCAAAATGTAATTTTAATTTCAATTCTCTGGGCCGAGAACTATTAAATGCAAATTACTTACGATATGTTTTAATGCGAGGCTTCCGAGTATAAAAGATGTCCGTTCAGAAATTATATCCCGAAGCGACGTTTCGCCAGGAGTCGAATGATATGTACCGATATTTAAGCCTGAGAGGCGGACACATCTGAAATTCACGACATATATTTCTTATACAATATTACAGTGATAAATAATCTACGCTCGTTTAAGTAAATAATTAATACAAAAATTGCTAAACCTACCCTTTCTTTTCTCCAAATTTTTCATTTTATTTCTCATTCTACACCCTTCTTTCAATCCACTACTTCTTTCCATTTTACCAACTTCTTCACACCTCATCCCCTATCCTTTTTGTACCCTTTTCCAATCTCCTCCTCCAATATCCACCTTCTACCTTTCTCTTCTTTTTCTTTCACACACCCTCCACTCCATCTCTCCAACCAATTTCCCTTTTCCACTCTCTCCACCCTAACCGCCGATACACCCCGCCGGTTCGTTCCTCTCGGAGTGGTTGGTACGTTGGGCAGCCCGGTAGTTGGAAGCGCGAACTTTTTTCTCAGCTATCGGGCCGGTGGATCGCGCTGCGATGCTGGACTGCAATCAGAATTGATTATAGCCTGCCGAAACTGCGCCGCGGCCCGCCGCGTTCATATTATACAACTCGCCCGCGGCCCAGCCGCGTCTCTCGCTCGCGCCAACGCCTCGATCGACTCGCTCTCTCCCTCGAGTCAAGATCATTCGAGGAGGGCCCGGTGTCTCCCTCCTCCCCTCCTTGATCCCTCGATATGCAAGCTGTCCCGTGCCCGACGTCACTGACCCACTCGTGCCGTGCCTCCTCAGGGATCCTCGTCCTTTGTCGGACCGGCTAACCGCCCCTGTCCGCTTCCTTTTTCCCAAACTTCGACGCCACGCTACTCGAAATACTCGATCTTGAAGAATTAAAATTGAAGAAATTTGAGGAGTGACCGTGAGGTAATCTGCAAATAAAAATAGTGTATAAATGTGAGATCATTTGAATGCTTTATTTTTTTGAGAAAATTTATAAGTGGAGATTTTTAGGTGAAAATTGTGAAAAATTGGAAGAATTGTGTTCATTCGAGGGTTTTTTTTCTTTTAAATTTTTAATTATCCAATAGAAGAGAAATATCTCTAGAATCTTGAGACAAGTAATATTCTGCAGCATCGGTAACGTTAATTAATAGGTCGTACGTCAGTGAAACCGAAGGGTGTGCACCGTAGAAGTGATTTAATATCCGCTTTAATTAGTTTGAAAAACGCCCATTGAGAAAAAGAGAAGTCTACGACTTGCACACGCTGCTTTCCTACGTTTTATTTCGATGCACTTTCAAGGCCATTAGTGGTTTAAAGTTCATCGTTCAGTTAGTCGTATCAAAAATAAAAACGTTTTGAAACATAAAATCCAAACGCTATAAATAATAATAACAACAAATTTTATTAATTCTTATATCCAATATCACGCATTGAAATTCTTTTTTTCTGTATTTCAAAGAATTTACATTTCGCTTTACTTCGATTCGAGGTAATCTTTGTTGTTTTCTAAAACGTTCGTGAAAAGAACTTCGAAGAAACTGGATTGTTCGAGGCTACCGGTATTCCACGATTGGCTATATGTAACGCAGACAAGAAAGCGTATCTGTAACTGAATAGCCCTTTTTTTTTTTTTTTAAACGACTAAATTCTCGGTAGAATTCCAATAGCATTCAGTGGTGATCGCAGCCGTGGAGATATTTCTCATAAATCGAGAACTATATCTTGGACGAAGTCAAGGTCCGACAACGTGGAATGCAATAATGCGCCGCGTATTTCACAAACGATCAGATATTAAGTTTGAGCCACAAAGTACCATATTTGTCGTTATTTGCTGGAAAGCAGTAAAAGTGGCCGTGTGCATGTTCGAGGAAACAAGTGCGTATTTTAATGGCACGGTGAAGCAATTGTCCCTGCTCTTCGTTCAACAACGTTCATCGAGTCCTTGTTTTTATAATCCGCGTTAAATGTCGTCGAGAACATTTGACATAAGTCACTGGGCTGTCTCTTGAGCGAGATCGCATCTTTATTTCGAAATTCACCTACTTTCGTTATTATACCGAGCGATTCCTTTGATCCTGTGAACACAAAAATTCTCCGTGAAGGGATTCAGATACCAATGATTCTCGTTAAGAGTACGTTTCGTTTCGTTTCGATATATTATTTAATATATCGATTTTCATCCACGTTAGATGTTTATCACTCGCGTTTCAAAAGCAAATACATCGCGATATAAGCTTATTCGAAAACGTCATCTGAGCGTAGAACTCCTGCTACTTTTCTCTTCTTTTTATCACGTGGAAGAACATCGAATAATATGTATCGACTATAATGAAACCTATCGAAGCGTGAAATGTGAGTTTTTATCAAACTTTCGCGGTGTGCTTCGCGGAGTTTGGATCAATACTTTTTTTCTGGTCCCATTACGTCAACCTTATTACAGCTTATGCAACGATAGAAAATCGTAGCCCGATATTGCGTAGATGGTCGTTAGTAGAAAGTTATATCCATTTATGTGATATGAGGATCACGAGATACGAACGTTTTGTACTCATAAGAATGACGGTGATTTTCGCGATAGAATCGATGCTCGTTTGCTTTTTCCGTGCATATCGCATTCGCTTTTATATTTATCTATTAAACAAAATAGAATTACCAATCTTACCTTAAATATTTTGTTTCAATAAATATTCCATTTCTTCATTATCGTCTTCGCGAACTTGAAAAACTTGTCGATTTCATATTTTTAATCGAGAACATTCAGTTTCCAATTCCACTGAAAAAGAAACAAAAATATTTCTAAAATAAAATAGAATAATACTCGAAGTATCACACGTGATGGAACACAATCGATTTTATTATTTTATCGTGATTAAATAATCGATCGTACTCAAACGAACGATATGAAGGAATATTTCGCGAGATTTTGTCGGGGCAATTTTCACGTTCGTCTGCCTATAAATCGCGAGAGCCGGGCTTTAAGACTCGTTTAATTCTTACACCCTGTTGAAAGTTAATAGGAAGCGACGAAGAAAGCGTGTAAGTGGCCGATGGGTGTTGGCAGAACGTAGCTGGGCGAACGTTTCTAGGGTCGGGGAAGGGCGTAAGAAAAAAATGTTTCTACAACCCCTCGACAGTTCTCGGCTGACTCCCTAAAGTCTTCGAAGCGTAACTTAGCATACTTTATTTGATTTTTTGTATTGGATAATAGTCCCAGGTAATAGGGTGGCTACGAACCAAGCTGAAGAAATGGCAGGGTTGTCGGGCAAATTTTCACGCTTCTCCCACTACTGTTGCATTAACAAATTTACATTTTTTAAATGGAAGGGTCGCGTTCTCTCTCTCTCAGGGTGATAACTTGCGGCCCATTTGTTCCTAGGAGAAATGAAACCGCCGGGGACGTTGCATCTTAATAAAGAATGTACAGGCATTTTGCTTGCTAAATTGCGAGATTTTAAATCGAAATTTTTCATTCGAAAACCAAGCAAGTAAAGAGTTTTATAAAAAAAAAAAAATTTATATGTAATTATAATTAATTTTATTATCTTTCAATTTTTAATTTTATAAAATGTCGAATTATATTTACTATATATTTATCATAATTACTACATAAGTTCGTAATAAATTGATTACCCACATAATCGATTCTCATCCTCGATAATTACGAAAATGAAAAATTATAACAAGAAGTTAAATATCTGAGAACAAGTTTCTCTTAAGAAGGAAATAAACGATTCCGTTCAAACTACAACGAATGACAATTTGCTTCGCGATCCATTTTCTTTTCTTACCTTGAAGGGTTCGCAGCAAACGAGATCTCGTTTCTTCGAGACGGTTCTCTTCATAATTTGTCCGCCGTTCCTCGTCCGGCTCCTTAATGTCCGCGCATTATCTCGCTATCATATTAACCTTTTCGTTTAAAGTACATATTGGGCTACCACGCGTCCATTAGCATTACATGAAACCGTGACGATAAGATCGGCAGCCCTATTCTATGCGGACGGCAATACATTTATACGGACAATCGATGTCCAGTTACGCTGGCTTCCAAACACGGCCTCATTACCTAATGATTGACTGACTAACTGGTAGCGAGCCCAAGTTAATCGATCTGGAAATGTAAGATGGAGGGCCGTGTTAAAAAGTTAAATCATACGGTATATTCTTCGTAATTATTTGCAATTCAATCGAATATCGAGGAAATTATACGTAGACAGAGGAATCAGCGAGTTTCATTGTGCTACACGTTGTTACCTTTTTGTCTTCTTCCATCTGGTTTTATTGGGCAAGTCATTTCTGTATACAAGGTACACATTATCGTGATTGTTACAGTTTATGAATAAATCGCTCTTGGGACAAAGGGAGCTCTTCTTTTTAGGGTACCAATTCTACTCATATATTGCACTTTATTGTAATTTTCATTATTGTCTGGGACCCGTGAAATTGCCGTAGCAAGCTTCGTATACTTTTAATATTATCCCTTTTATTATTATTTTTCGTCATGAAATTGAGAACTAATAAAATAATAAAAAATAATTGCAAATTAAATTTGGTAACAAAGAAAGATGATAACGAAAATAAAAAGTTTATCGTAAATTTTATCTCTACTATTTTTAAATAACTTATTAAAATTATGGCGCGCTTATTCGACAAATCTCAAAATTATTCAAATATATGAACAATCTATCGTATCATCCGTTTTCCCCTTCTATTTTCCAATAATTTACCATGCCTCCTACTCGCGGAATCGCGGATCAGATTTCCTTTTGAAAAAAATGATAGCGGCTACGATATATCTGTCCCGCGGCGTGCAATCTTTAAAACATATGTTTTTCGTAATCGTTCGCGCGGTTCTATTATCGGACCGGGGTATAAGGGGCGATGGAGGATCGAAGGGGGCGGCCGAATCCGGGGGAACATGCTCGGGGCGCGAATCTATACATATTTAATGAGAGCACGCAGTTGTAAAAAGCAGCTGGCGAATTGCTCCCCGGCAGAGTGACTTGGCCAGATACTTTTATTCAAATCTCATAGCCACCGCGCGAAGATGCTTCTCGCGGGAGCCGCGAAAGGCATATCAAAAGAAAAATGCTCTCGCCGCCTTTCCCGCATGCATAAACATAATCCCCGCATAATGTATATTTCAAAGTCTTCCGCTCGGCATCACTGCTCATTACTATTAGATTGATACTCACCACCCCTGCTTCTGGTTATCCAACGTTTCTCCTTTTTCGTTTCGTGTGATCCTTCGGAATGATATTTGACAAAGATCGTGTTTGTTTCGAGAATGGATGAAATTTTTTCTCCTTGATATTTGATGAGATTTCAATCATGTTTTCAAGTAGAATAAAACCGGGATAAAATAGAACAAGATTACGAAACCATAGAAAAATAATGATAAATATAATAATATATATAAATAAGATTAAATAAAAAAGAAAATAATAATTATGAATAACGGCACAGGTTATGAACAGATGCTTCGTTTGCTTCTTGATATGCGTTTGTCAAAACACATGTTAAATGAAACTATTATGTATATAAAAGTTAAGATTTATCGTTAATTTTTCGTTATAATTTTTAATTAGAATTTTAAAATTAAAATACGCACCTATTTTGTTTTGTAAATATTATTGCGTATTACTTTTATATAACATAGCTTTGTCTTGAAATTTTTTGACGAACGTATTCTATTTCCATGTACACGTCATGTACATGTATATCATATTCAATACTTAATTATATAATGATATTAAAATATTATTTTAATAAATTAAAATAATTGGTTTAGTATTAATAATTATTTTTATTTTATAAATATTTGATAGTTTATAAATAGAATTCAAATCAATTAATAATTATATATATTTGGAAATTTAATACTATTTTGATTTCGAAGTCATTAGTAGGACAAGATGGCTGAGTCACGCCTGTCGAGAATCCCGCGCTTTTTGTGGATTAATATTCAGTTGTTAATTAGTGCAATTAATCTTTAAATATATCTTAAATTTTTAATTATGTGAGTGTTATAATTTGTGTGAACGATATAAGTTTTGAAATTCTTGTTTTTTTCTACATCAACGAACTTGTAGTCTACTTCTATTGCGACCATTGAACTACATTCATCTTTTTTGGTAAGATTTTTCGTATTCTTTATATCATATAATAAAGTTATTTGTAATTCGTAATATGACAAAAATTATGAAGAAATTTTAAATTATTATTTTATTCGTGCATGATTCTTTCTTACGTAATTATCCAACTGACTTAATTCGTTATAATAATTATCGATTGATTCATTTATCGATAACATTTATAGAGGTTAAGAATTTTAAATAGCATAAATTAAGACGAATCAGTTAGTAATAATGTAATCAAGATGAATAAATTTAGATAAATTTTAGTGATTTATCAATAATTATAACAATCATGTTTAATTAAGATAAATTGCTAATAATATAGAGAGCAACATATCGTTGTACATCGTATCGTGTTATATTGAGTAGAAATTGAAATTTTGTGAACGATAACATTTCGAGTAAGAAAAAGGAAAAGGAAAAAAGTCGAAAATGAATAATCTAGAAATTTATTTGAAAAAAATTTTTTTTCGATTCGATCAAAAATCATGCAAATAGAATCAGAACAATTAGACGAACCGAGAATTTCAAATGTGATCGGGTGTATCGCGTGAGACGCTCATGAATCATTGAACAAAACTTCGACACACATAAAAATGAATTACTCGCGCGAAACGAGATAATAATGAGACAAGCCTCGTTCGACATTATCTACAACGCATACAAATCTGAACAGCTCCCTAGAAGTTGTCGCGATATTTCACGAGACGTACGAATAAAAGGGAGAATTTCTTCGTTAAAATTCGATTTCAATCTGAAATATTTCCATTTTTGTTTCCCATCAATCGTTCCATTTTTATTTTCTACTTTCTTGAATTTTCGTACTTAACCTCTCAACAAAATTATCACGAAACTTTATAGACATAATTCTATATTCTATAAAATTCTCATAAAACTTTTTTTCAATATCAAGAATTATTCATTCAAAATTAATTATTTTCAACATTCGAAACGTCATTTGCCAATTAAGCGTTCTGTACAACTTTTTACGTTTGCAAGTGTTAGTTACCGGATCGATAATCATTCGATATTTATTCGGTGCGCGTGAATCGAGATATTATGGTGTCCCATGGCAAAACGAAGGAACGTGAATATAGGTAAGCGGCGCGTCTGCTTTCGAGCTACATCGGCTTGACACCGGTTAGGTCGAGTTGAATCGAGTTGATAAGGTTAACTGAGAGATACGGAGGCGTAGGGAGGTCAAGTGACTGTGTAGGCGGCACTGTTCGTCGTCGCCACATACCGGCGCGATTAATGTCGTGTACGACCGTATACGTGCATACATGTAAACGCGCCTTTCGGCGGGAGCGCGAACCTCTGATTAAACTGAACTTTTCATTAATTAAACTATTCCGAGATCGCATTTAACACTTTGTTTTCGAGCCGTGTCACACCTATGTTAATTTTAGGAAGTGAAACTTGACAGGATTTGGATGTTTAAATATATAATTTTTTCTTCTATTCTGATGCTAAGTTAGGTTATATTATTTACAATGTTCTTACAAAAAGATAGTAATTATGAAATAATTTAGAATAATTTAGATTAAAATATAGATTAAAGTTTAGAAAATTGGAATTTTAGTTATAGTAACACTGTAAGAAAAAATATATTAGGTTAGAATAATAATACATAGAATATTTTATTATTATAATTTATTTTATTATTGGCATATCATTTTCAAATATTCTAATTTAAATGGAAAAAACATAATTTGATAATAGATTTAATATCATTAATGAGGATTTATATCATATAATAAGAGGTCAAGAATAATTTATAATCATTCGATGCATAATTAACCTACATCTCATTATTGGGCAATATAATATTTTTTCGAACGAAGACAAGATTTCATTTTCAAAGAAACGAATCATTAATTGATTAAAAAGTTATTACTTAAATATTTTTGTATAAAAATAATATTTCTTAAAAATATTACATCTAATGACTTATCTATCGCGTATATTCCGAATGCGTTGGAACTTTTGGTGTGAACGCGACTTAACAATCTGAAATAAGCAGCTCCAATTGAAAGGATGACCGAATTGAACAAGGGTTCTCAGCATATCCACTCGACAATTCTCCGTTCAAAAATGACATTTCCTTATTTAAACGAACATCGCGCATTTTTATTCGGTCAGGTATCGAACGAATCGTTTCGATTCGTATCGTACACACGCGAATCGGAAATGCTCGCTTCGTTGCACGTCGAACATAATACAACGAGTAGGTCAGCGTTATTCGTGTATGAAGCCATTAAGTAATCGGAATACCTATTGTACTTATGTTGATTAACGACAACGGTATAGTAAATATCGTGTTCAATGAATACTAATCGTTTCAAGAGTTCGTACAAACGTTTATAAATCGTTTGTGCAGCCATTGAGGTATAGTGCATCGTAAAATTTGACATTCGTGACAGAAACCATCGTTTTTATCAAGTTACTGCTTTTTTTCTCTCTCCCCCCCTCGTTTTCAAAGAAAACTATCGAACGAGAAAAGAGGAGGAGAAGAATCAACTTGGATGATCCGATTTATCTCCCGGTAGTTCGATGTTTTTTTACGGACTAGACGTAGTAAGTCAATGAATCGTAACATGGAAGAACTTGTTTTCATTCCGATAATCGAACTACAGCGATCAATCTTTTTTTTTTTTTTTTTTCTCCCTTCGATTCCATCTTTATTCGATTCGATTTCTTGCCCGGGATGCTTAATTCGATCCATCGAATATGAAATTTACCTTCTTCCTCGCGTTTCATAAATCACTCGCGATACTTCGCAAACCACGTTGCAAAAATTGTCAATCGCTCCGTGTGCATAGAACTTTCTATCCCCCCGTATCTACATAACTACACTATCATCGTCATAATTGAGAACCTCACGATATAATACCATACCATACCTATACCATATCCATATCGGAACAAAAAAGGCACGCCTTGTCACATACCCCTCTCCTCCCCCTTCCTCCTCCATGTCTATCGATTCAACAAATTTGCAACGGCATTAAGGGAAACCCCACGGATAAAATGAGAAAAAAGGAACAATTACAGCCGGGCCGAAAACGCTGGCCTCTCGACGCAAAGAAAGCGGCAGCCACAAGGAAAGTGGTGGTGGGTTTTCTTGTTCGAAAACGCCGTATTCGGCCGTTGTTCCGTGGCTCGGATAAAAAGACGCGGTACGGTACTCGGGTACGGTACTCGGGTGATCCACGCACCGAAGGTGTACCGAAGCCGTGGGCCCCGCCGGATCCAATGAATAATACAGCCGCGGCACAATTAGCCTCGCCGTTTTCAATTTAATCGGCGAATTATCAACCCTTGGGGGATGAGGGGAGGAGGGGGGACAGGCGACTGGTTCGAGGCAAGAAAGGACTGACGTGCACCACCACCGTTGGGTATGGGTATTATGCGCGGCTTCCACCGTGGAAGCGGACCGTCAGGCTTCGGCCCAGCGGGTAGCGAGACGCGCGCAAAGAAGCGGCGCGGATAAGACGCGTTATTGCGCTCCCGTTTGTCAACGACTCGTCGCCGGGATCGTAGTCTGTCTGGTATGGGAATTGGGTTTGCTGCGTTAAAAATTGGCGATATATCGCGTGGAAAAACTAGCGGGATTGGAAATCGAAGATATGGTATATTATGGTAAATTGAAAAGAATTATACGTATAATTCGAGGATGTATAATCCAATCTTACGACAATAGCATCGATCGTATATAAAGTTGAAAATAGTATTTTAAAATTATTCTCAATATTATCAACGATATCACTATTATTAACGACTCACGGCCTTCTTTACAAGATCACGCTACTTTACGCCGCGTACACGTTTCGTGGTCCCAGCCCATTCTCGTCCCTCGATATCGAAAGCTATATACGATACGAAAAAAAAAGAAAAAAAGAGAGAGAGAGAAAAAATGCGTAATTTCACGAACAAGATTGTAGAAAAGCCACGTTGGAATAGTTATTAATAACAACCGCGGCCTCGTATATCGTGGATAACGATTTCGAAATACGGTTGGTCCGCGCGCGCGCCATCGCTCACAGGTATGATAATCGCCCTTAATAACACACGCGGCACACCGGTTTAACATCCGAAACGGTGGATTACAGCGTTGAAAAAGGTATCACGGGCCCGTGTTTGCAACATTGAAAGCTTTTTTCGCGTACCACCAGCGGCGGCTTGCGCCCTCCACCACCACCCGAGTATATTCCACCGCGCCGGAACAAATGACGCTCTATCGCCACTT